AACCGGTTGGTCCATACATCATGATGGTGCACTTGTCCCCAAGCTTAACTCCATTGATCCTCGACTCCACAAACTTTTTATAGAACACATCCAGGTCCTCTTCCTCAGACACAAAAACCCCATTAAGGGTGAAATCCCGGTACCCAAAATCAGCTTGAACCCGGATAGAACTCGAGTTGGAACTGGTTTGAAGAACAGATAAAGGCTTATCCTTTCGATCTGGGTAGTCACTGATTCTGGCAACTACTTCAATTGGGTGTTCAGGAGGGGGTTCCTTGTTTGCAGCACAATTTGGGTTGGGAAAAGGGTGCATTTGCAGTGCTGATTTGGGGCCATGGAAATTGAGACGGTGCTTGGATTGTGGAGTCTTCATCTGGGTGGGGTAGTTTTGTTTGGAAGAAGGGGTTGGAGCCATAGTGGAAAATTTGATTGTGAGAAATAAAGATTGAACTGAGAAGAAAGAATTAAGAAGAAGAAATTGGCGCCGGAGATAGAGAAGAAGCGGAGACAAATAAAGATAGAACACATAACCCATTAATTTAATACATAATACCACGCCATTTTAAAAAAAAATACAGCATCTCTTAAGGCGTTTTGTCAAGACTTAACGGAGGGGACAAAATTGGCTCAATTTTACAAGAATATGGACGCAATTTTTACACTTTGAAAAGCGATGACCCACTTGAGATTCACCATGGTTTAAACCAATTTATTATTAGAGAAATTGATGTGTGAAAATTGTTATAAATGAACAAAAGCTTACATAATCCATGATTCTTAATAGTTTCTAAACAAAAAATATGGGACAATTATAGGACTCGTTTTATGTTTCTAACTATGCTATTGGGAAAATTTTATTATCAAAGTCATTAAATACTGTTTAACCGACTCAACAAAAATAAGTTTAACAACTTTATTAGAGTGCATCGTTGAACATGTATATTAATTTTATTTTGGTTTTAAAACACGACAACTGTTTTCGTCATATTTAATTTGAATTATTTGATTATTATTTTTTAATATAATGATAACAAACATTTTTTAAAACTTTTACAATTTTACATGAACGAAAGATCATGTATTTACCGTATTTAAGAATTGTACGTGGCTGTTAAAAGTTGCAATGAGATAATACAAACGATGAAATAATTGTTAGGTAAAATTTCCTCATAGCATAGTCATGTCTATCAGAAAAACTCTCCGGTTCACACGTAAGAATAAAAATATATAATGAAAGTTGATGGAATTTCAGTTAAATCTCATCTTAAATAATGAGATAAAATAAATCATAATAATAAAATAATCAAAAGATTTTTCTCTTAGAATATTTTGAAAAATATATACATCGATTTATACAAAACAAGTAATAAGTATAAAAATGTTAAAGGAGGATAAAATTACAGAAAAAAAAAAGTATATAATGGAAGTGTGTGTTGCATGAAGAAGCTTTTACTTCATCAAAGTGTAATAAAAGATTGAACAGATGATAGAGGAAAAACTGGTTAATTGTTTGTTTGTTTATTGCTGAAGTTAGAAAAAGAAAACTAATTCATCGAAATGTGAGAGATGAAAGCGAAGGGTCCTTAAAATTTGACACAACTTTTGTTTTTTTAAATACATGTCATCTAAAATAATTTAAATATAATTCCAGTTGAAAATTTATTTATTTAAGATTATGGTTTTATGAGAAAATTATACTAGAAATATATTGTGATTGAGTGAAATCTTAAAGAAAATAAGAAATCAAATTTATACAGAACTTTGGATCTTAAAAAATAAAAAATAACCATAATATTTTATAACACTGATTTCAAAAGAAAAAATAATTATCCAGACATTCAAATGTAACATAGTAGGAGCAATTTGAAGTGAATAAATCTTATGAAAAATTGTTAGTTCACATGGTATGAGCTTGACCGAATATTTATCGTAAAGATAGACACACTTTTCATTTTTATTAAATACCTTAAGAAAAAATTTACATATATTATTATTAAATGTATAAACATATTTGAGTTTACATATAATTAGGATTTACATGTATAAACAAGATTAAGATGAATTTGAGCTTAATTATAAACATACTTTGTAATACTTGATGTATATAAGCTTTCGTATTTTATTTTTATTTCTGCCCAATAATATATTTTAGACTCATACTCACGTTTGCAAACAACTCAAAAATTAATAAATACTTTTTAAAAAATTAAAAGCATCAAACTATTATAATAAAATAATTAAAATAAAAACGGAAATATATATATTAATTTTAGTTGCAGTATCATTAAAAATGTTATGTTCTAATTTAAAAAGAAGTTGATATTTATTCACATAGCAATCAATATAAATATTCACTAAAAAATCAAAGTTTAATATCCATCTTATATTTATATTTAAGATTAAAATTCTTGATAAAATATTTAATTATATATTAATATGTTAATATTTTTAATAAATATATGTAATAAATATTAAAAACAAATATACTTCAGTTGTGAGTTCAAAAAAAATTATCATTATTAAAATAAAAAATTATTTTAAAAAAATGGTACGTGAACAAAATAAATTTTATTTATTATATGAATATTTTGTTTTTGGACTTTTTAATTTATGTTACCTATGTAACAGAAAGAACATTTCTATTAAACACATTTCTACTGACAAACCATTTTAAAAATGATTTTTTTCGGATATTAAATTTTTTAGATTCATTTAACATTACTTTTAATTATTTTTTATTCTCTTCTTTTTTAAAAAATACAAAAAATTTATATTTTTATAATATTTTATCTTTATATTTTGTATGAATAAAGTGAAAGTTCCACCATTTCACGTACAAAATTGTTGATTCAGTTATTTTCTAATGAATTCTTTTTAAAAGTAAAAAATATATTCGAGCAGGTAAGTAATAATTCTTAAATAAGACATTTGGTGAAGGAAATTATACTAATTACTAAATACTAATACATAATACAAATATAATAACCCATTTAAAAATTGATTAAATATTTTTTATAAAATCAAATGCCGATGGAAGTTATTGGATTGAAAAGCTTGGGTGAAGTTCAATCATCCAGATACAGTCGCAATTTGTTGATACAAAATATTAATTTTAAAAAAAAAATTATTATAAAAAATAATCACTTTATTTTAATTTTAATAAAAATATAACTAGATTACGGCTTTAACATAACAAAAGAAGACAATATTTGCAGTGAATAGTATAATTTAGCTTCGAATTATTTCTCTTAAAATCTATATTACAAATTTACACAAAATATCTAAGTAAAACTTAATATTTTTATTTATTTTTTATTTATTATTATTATTCAGTTGGGACACGTTGGTGGCACACCAAGCCCATGGGTGAGGTAGTTAGTTACGAAGGAGAGAGAAAAATTGGGATAAAAAGAAGAGGAAGAAACAGAAGAAAAATAACATTAACAACAACGGTGGTGAAATAAGGAAGCAAGAGAGAATCATATTCATGGCGGTCCCAACCTCTTCTCTCGCAATCACCATTCATTCTTATAAATAAGAGCACTCTTCAGACAACATAACAAAGGAAACTATCAAAATTCGCATCTGTCATTGTATTTGCCTTACACATCAGCCACACTCAATCTCTTGCTTCATTCCCAAACCTCTTCTTTCCCTCAAGTTTGTAGAAGGAGAACTTTCCCCCTTCTTTTTTTATCGGCAGTTCTCTGCAAATAAATGCAAAAAAGGTTTCAAAAAGCTTTCTTAGCTTCAACAAAATGCGATCTCCTTCTTGTAAGATTCCCACTTCCTTTCCACCCTTCTTTTTTCAATTTCGATGCTTCTTTCCTCTTTTTAAGTCATTCTCTGCGTAAAGGTGCTTGCTTTTTGTTCTATTGTTTAGTTTTTTTCATCTGGGTATGTCTCCTCTTTCCCCCTTAACTTTTTTTTTCGGTACTTTTCTTTTTTGTCTAATGTTTTTGCTCTCAATGGGACTTAATGGGTTCTGGGGGTGCACCCTTTTTTCAGTTGCTGTGTTTCTCGCTGTAAATGCAAATTCCTTGTTTTCTGACACGGAATTTTGAAATTAACGATTCAGTTTAATTTATCATTTTTGTTGATGTTTGTAACAGTTTCTTAGATTCGATTAACTTTGTTTTTTTTTTCAAAAAAGAAATATATTTGTTGTTGTGGAGGGGGTGTGTTTGTTCCGCTTTTGGACCTTTGTGTTTATGATATTGACCCCCTATTTCAACAAGCATTATGTGGGGTCCAGCTAACTGGGAATATCGACATGAAGATAAAATTCCCCAATTTTATGAGCACCCAAACGGAAAATTTAACCTTTTCTAAATATGCTTCTCGATGTTGCTGATATGCATTTTTTTTTTGTTTCTTTACTTGCATTTGGGTTTCATTTCCAGAATTTCTGAAGGAAAGTTACATGGTCTAGAATTTCCCTGGAGTGTAGTAGTCAGTTGTGGTAATAAAGATGGGGGATCACTTTGAATTACTGGTCGATCGATTGCTTACTGAATCCACATTAGAAGCTGCAATTGAAAGCAGGAATAAGTCTATGTTGGCTGCATCCTCAGCAGTGAATGACGCGAAAATTGATCTCAATTTGATGAAAGTGGGTCTGGATGATATAAAATTTCCCGGGAAGCTGGTAGAATGCAGGATATGTCATGATGACGATGAAGATACCAATATGGAGACACCCTGCTCTTGTTGTGGTAGTTTGAAGGTTAGTTAATTTTCTAGTATATTCATAATCATATGCTTTGATAGGTGAAGTGATTGAGTATTTTAATTTGTATTTTTGTCATTTGTAACGAGAATTCATGGTGTCTGCGTTTCGAAATTTAATGGAAAACCAAATCTGTTGTGATGAACACTAAATTTAGTGATTTTATCTGGTTTATTATTTCTAAATTCTTAAAGTTATTTGTGTACTTGTAATTCAGTGACACGGTTGCATTAATAGAGGCATTGTTTTGTATGAACATAGCTCATAAGGAGTAATTTGTGGATTTAGTGATCAAATTTTTATTTAGCTCATATGAACATTATAGGCTTCTATTGATTTTTTTGCAGTACGCTCACCGTAGATGTATACAACGATGGTGTAATGAGAAGGGTGACACCACCTGTGAGATATGCCACCAGGTAAACTTAAATTTGTTCTCATCCCTAACTCTCACTCTTTCTGCATACTTGGCATCGTCTCAATTATTTGGGTTTCACGTGTTGTTACATGTCATATCTTTCACCTGATTTTGGTTGATTGGTTATTTTGGCTTTGTTGTAAATTTCGGTAATTCAAGCCTGTCAAATGATTAACTTGGTTTATTTTTTTAATTGGTGATTTCCCTACATTGTGAATTCAGCAATTCAGGCCAGGCTATACTGCTCCTCCACCACTATTTCAGTTTGGACGTATTCCAATGAGTTTCAGGTACCGTTCACGTAAAAAATTCTTACTCTCCCCCCCACAAGTTAATCTGTGAACCTTGTTTTCATATTTTCATTTTCCAATGTGCTTCCACGATGTTTATGTCAGGGGGAATTGGGAGATTTCAAGAAGAGACTTGAATAGTACACATTTGGTTAGCATGGTCCCCACTGATCAAAACGTTAACACTTCTAACTATGATCAGTATTCAGCCTCTGTTACAGGAAGTTTGATTTGCTGTCGTTCAATTGTTGTCATTGTAAATCTCTTGTCTCTTTTATGCATGTATGCCACTATGCCCTTACTCCTACTGATTGTGACATTTCCAATCTCTGTTTCTCTTGTGCAGTTCATGGTTATTCTGATTTTAAGACACACACTTCCCCTTGTAATTAGTGAAAATAAGGAGTATTCTTTCCCACTCTTTTTGGTACGTTTTGCATAACTCAACTTGTAATTTTAACAAGTGCATAGATCGTGCTCGTACTTACCAGGGTTTATTCAATTTAATGGAGTTTTGATAGCTGTTGTTGTTTCGGACTGTGGGAGTTGTTCTTCCAATATACTTCATGGTTAGAGCAGTGGCATTAATCCAGCGCCATCGGAGACAGCATCGAGTAAGTCTCTGCCTTGGATCAACCTCTTGTCTCTTTCCCATGCTTTACTTTATCACATGAATCATATATTTGCATAGAATGAAGTCTCTGATATTTTTGCTTGTTGTAACTGTAAGGAGCATCTTAATGCCTTGGCCATTTCATCTGACGATGAAAGCGAGCAAGCAGATTTGCAGCCTCAGCCTCAGCCTCATATCATACATGTACTGTAAAAATAGTGTAGCCGGTAACCACTTGAAGAAGTAATTGAAGGATGAAAAGCTCCTGGTTTAAGATGCTGCACTTTGTCTTCTGATTTTTTTTCATGTAAATTAGATGGAGACAAGTTTCTTGAGAACCTGGAGTTTGCTTAGGATGGGGACACTGAAATTCAGATGTTCGTAGCTCATAAGGAGGCATTGCATGCCACTTGTGTTACCTAGTCCCTCTGCTATAGCTACTCTTCGGGAAGTCTTGGAAACAGCAAGTTATACATTTAAATTACTGTTTATTTACCGATTGGAATTGTTCAGATGTACAGATAGAAATTTACAATTATAGAGAAAAATTAAATGGTTAGATATAAAAAAACGCATGGCATGTGTATACTGCAATCAAAGATCGGTAGGTACTTTTGGGGCATTAATTTCATTATAGGATGCTAGTTTTGTCTATCATCTTGAGTTTCATGTTATTTGTAATGGGCAGATTATCAATCAATGAAAAGCCATAGAAAATGACATTGTATATGCAGTAATATTCCCATGGCATCCTTGTTAGTCACTAGTTGAAACTCATGATCCAGGAGGGTCTTGATATGTGCGCCGCACTCCTTTTCAATTCTCGAATAGTCCTCCAATTGATAGTAGACATAATAGTCAATAGACCCTTGTTCTATTGATTTTCTTAGTATAGTCACACTCAAGTCCTAATCGGTCATTGTTACCTGGTCTGCTTTCATTTTTTCTTCAGTCCTTCGTAACCAAACAATATGATTCTCTAAGCCTAACGAATGACTCTTTCTGGCACTACCAGGTAATCTAAGTTGACAACTTTCTATGATTCAGTTACTGGAGCAGCATGAAGGTGTAGCTTTAGTTGCACTTGGATGGATAGGATGAATGCCTGAACCAATAATACACAACCAACCAATTCCTACTGTTTATTGTCAGTCAGTCCTCCTATTTTCATTATTTTTATCCCATATTTACAAATCGGGCTTTACTAAAATTTGTTTAATTTTTAAAATTTGCTATTGGATAACATTTACAGTTGAATGGATCTTTACAATGGCAGAAGTACAATTCGTAACTCGTTGATTATGTGGCATGTTTGACTGAGTGTAAAGAAAATAGAGGAAAAGTGCAGTCCATCTAACGTAAATTTTATTACAAGAATTATTCTGGAGAATGAAACTTAAAATCTTAATAATAACAATCATTCACAGACAATTACCTGGTTGGAGAATTCTATAACTAGAATGGATTTAATTAAAGATGAATTAACATCATGGAAACTGATAAAAATAAAAGCTCAACTGAACCATGAAGACCTTTAAATGATTTTAGACTTTGATTTCATTCAAATGTTTGGTAAACGTGAAACCGTACTATGTAAGTCAGGCCTTTTAGCTTATACAGTTACTTTGATATTGAAAAAATAACACCAAATTACAAAGCAAAAATGTTACATGTCGCGTGCTCCTTTCCCCCCAAAATCCTAAGGTTGTATAGTGTATAGTAGATGATGTGACTCAAGGCCAAAAAAAAAAGGTTAAAGAAAATAGCACAAATCAGTAATGGTGTCCAGAGCAAGAATTGTTTTCTGTACATTCTATTGATGAAGCATTCAAAAAGGAAGTTGGCAAGATTCTTTGGAGTAAGACCATGAATTGGATGCCTATGAAGGCTGCTACGCACCTCACATGCCTTGAAGTTTACTTGTCTACAATTCCTACTTCCACGTTCTCCTAGGCCTGAAACATTATGCAAACAAAAAGAAGTAATATATAAGAATCTCAATAACTCCAACATAATCTCTCACTCTATCTCTCTCCATATACCCACCCCTTTTAGTTCTTCAGGACCCAGTCATTGGTTAATTTTTGAAAGAGTTCATTACCCTCCTAATTATCAAATGTTCTTTAAAGAGTGTAGGTGGTGAAAATACTTCCGACTCTTTTGCTGCGAACGCCAGTAGCAAGCAAGTGCTCCAAAGGCACAGCTAGCAACAGCAATAGCCAATGCAGCTCCCACAGGCACCACAATTGCATTAGTTGCGACTATTAAATCTTCTTCGGCTCCATCATTTCCGTCAATATTCCTGTTCTTGTACAGAGACGCTAGTGTTTTACCGTAGTAATCAGTCAAAAACTTAAAGACCTCGTCTTGGTTCCATTCAATTTTGTTGCTCTTCTGATCAAAGGCTTTGTAACAGGAAGCGCAAAGTTGATTTGGTGGCCAAATAGTCTTTGGAAAATTGGGGTCAGCGGTGCCTAGTGATGCTTCTTCTTTCATCAATCTTTCGTTCACTTTGTTGTGGGAACTCCACAACCAGAGTGCAAACTCACGGGCCGTGTTGAAAGGACTAGTAACACTGAAAATTTATTTCGAATTACAGGAGTAGAAAGAAATTGAATTTGATCAACAACTTCAGTGATACTCAATTCCCTTACCTTGAACACATCTTGTAAAAATGTTGTCGGCATTCCTCACAGATGAAGAAGTTGTGAACAAAATCACATATTGCGTTGAATGTAAACTGACTCTCTCCATCCTCTATCCTCACAGAGAGTGAATGCAGAAGAACCCATAAACCACAGCTGGAACAACAGAGATAAGATGGGGCAACCATAGTCGTATATAAGGTTTGCAGAAGACATCTTATAAATGGTATCAATCATTGAGTCAATAAAGGTATTCTTTTGTTTGATTGTGATTGAACTAATAACAATCAAATTTATATATATTTTAAATATTCATCGTAACAAACAAAAAGAAACCATAAGAAATAAACTTAAGCAAAATTTTAAATTAGCATAAAATAACCATAAGTAAACATCATATACAGTTCAAACAAGTTTTTATCCTATAAGATAAAACCAATAAAGGATACCAAGCCATAAGTAAATATCATATACATAACTTTGTAGTATGGAATTTTATTTGACTAAGATAGTTTTGGTTGAATAAAAAATACAGTTCAAACAAGTTTTTGTCTGGTCAAATTAACAAGTGAAGATTAAATGAACAAAACATCAGACACATTGACCAGGTTTTCTGTCAAACCAGTTGGTGCAGTTAAAGATGCAAAATGGGTTCAAACCCGTAAGCTAACCTGTCTCACTATGGATTCGAACCAGATTAGAGTGAAAAAAAATTATATTTTTTCAAATGTAGGTCAAATTAAATCTCATTCACTTAATCCACAAGTTAAACAAGTTTGAATCAAGTTAAGTGTGGGTTGACATGTAACCCACCACCAACAATCCTTTATAATACCATTTTTTGGTAAATTTTTTTATCACAATTATTTACTACTCCTAATTATGTAGGTTGAAAATGTGATTTTTTTAAAATCTAGAATGTTGTTCAAAAATATTTGAATAGTTTGGATGTTCAATTTATTTTGTTTGCCAAATTATGTAGATTAATACTTTAATTTTCAGCTACTATCTTTATAATGAAATAGTTGAGTACTTTGATTGTAGTGCTACCTATGATGGATCGTGTCTGTTTACAAGATTTATGGCTCAACAATGAGTCGGGTTATAGGGTAGTTGAAACTAAAAAGTTGAATATATTTAATTGAATACAAAGAACTAGACAAGATATGGCGGTAAAGTATTACCTGAATCCTCTGGTTTCATTCTTACTGCCACGACATAACATCTATAAAAGAAAAGTCAAAATAAAAGAAAATAATCAGGTTTCAAACTAAAAATTCAAAATTTAATGAATGAAGGCAATATTATGAATTATAATAAAATAAAGATACTAAACATACTATGCATGTATCTTGATCTTCAAATCCCACCGAACATAGTATTTGAGAGAAAATACAATTTCACTAAATAAGTAATAACACTATAATAAGGTTATTTTTTTCACCAATTGCAGAAGACTATAAAGAAAGCTCTATGATTTTTTGTAGGGTTGACATTATAACCAGAGGAACTTCCATATGGGGAAGTTTGACACACATGCGTATGCATCCATTGTACAATTACTCAGTGTAACAGAGATGACTGCCTACATTTTCCATGGTTTCCCCTTACATTTGTCATACAAAAAAAGGTGAAAGTGTTCCACACAGAACCAAAATAATCGTCCACTATATCTAATAAGGTGAAAGTGTTCCACGCCTTTCTCCATATTTGTACCTTACATCTGTTGCATATCAAAATGTTTTGGCCTTAGCATTGTTTCTCAAGGAAAATTTTACTATTGATATGCAAAGACATTGGACACTTCGATGTAATTTTTTTACCTATTTTGGCTCACTGATTTCCCTTTCTTTTTAGAAGTCCCTCCCTAGACATACCTTCTCTCTTGTTTTGTGTGGATGATGATAGGAACAGAATTTTCTGTATATTAAGAGAGGAAATACTTAGAACAGTGCTCTGATTACAGGGTAATATGAAGAACATATAGAGCATCAGAGAAGGAAAACTTCACTGAATGTGGCAACATTGCAATAGCCACTCACGACCAACTAGAGGATTCCCTAGCTCTCATCCTTCCAC